CTCCTTCTTGGATAGAAAGATTCACTAAGTCAGTAAAAAGCTGGTGGTGCATGACCTCTAAAGAAAACTTGCCTATTCTTTTGCAAAGACTAAAAGTGATTCAAAAAGCCCTTAAAGGTAAATGGCAACAAAATAATAAAGGATATTGAAATAGACAAAATAATCATATGACTCAAAGAGTACAAAACGTTCAGGAAGAAACAGCAAAAGGGAGAGGAAAAAGGTAAATTGGAATATTGGTTAGACAATAAATAAAGAGTTGGTTATTCCCATTCCCATGAAAAAAATAATCATTTCAAATATACATGCCTACCTGTAAATATTAAATTCAAAGAATTAAAGGGCAAATGGGGACAGGCTGTCTTACACTTCTATGGTAAAATAGAAACCACAAAGCTATAAAGAAAACAATGAAGACATTGCTTGGCTATGTTAAGAAAAGGTTAATCATTGAACTTTGTACTTTCCTTTTACTGTGATTATTGAAAAATATTGTACACTGAGAAATACTGTGCACTCATGGTTTGATTTATGGTCTGATGCTTTACTGCTATCGTAAGCTTTCTAATTATAAATAAAGGTTATAGAAGGCTGCTTTCAGAAGAGAAGTAGAGACAGAAGTAGAAAAAGAAAGAAGATATTCAGGTTGACCTCCCCCGAGCGGGTCATTCAACAGCCTCTACTACAACTGCAATTGTGGTTTCTAGTATGGTCATTTCTACCACCACAGTTAACTTCACCCCTTCAGGCCCCAGACTCAGCTGGAGCTGGACTCCAGCAGTTAGTCCTTTCCAAAGCAAGTATGTTACCAATTTAATAAAACAGTAAGAGAAACTGTGAAGAACACTCAGAAGTAAAATTTTTTTTAAAAGCATAAAAACAACAACCATCTTATCCCAAGAAGAAAATTTATCTAAAAATTATAAAACAGGAAGCTGTGAGATAAAATTATTAAAATCTCATAAACTAGGATAACCATTTGAAAAGCTGATATGGAAAATCCCAGCAGGAGCCAGAAGTCTCCATACTTCCAAAACAGTCAGTCTCTGTTAAGATACATAAAGATGTTCAGTGTAGCACTCTAAATAATGCAAAGTAACAAGAGTTAATGATTTAATCATAACCACTAGGAACAACGGGATATCACATGAATCTTTAAAGTATGATTAAAATATGGGAATATTTTTAATATCTAACTGAATATATTATATATTCACATTATATGTTTATTATCATTTAAAGTACATATTAAAAAACATACATAGGAAAAATATGACAATATTGCAAGTATGGGCAATATAAATTCTTTTCAAAAATATTTTTGATATTTTGTGAAGATCCTTTAATTTTAAAATATTAAGTAGTACACAACACATATAATTTTTCAGAAAAAATACATTTCAAAATTATCACTAGTTTTCATTGTTAGAGTGACTCAAAATAACTAATGTTTAGGCATAAATTTGTAACATGATTTCACTGAGAACAAATATAATCTAGGAACTATAAACCACTATCTAGGACATTATTCATCAACTTTCTGATAAACTGTAGGGTAAAGTTCATATTGTTAATCAAAAGATAACCCTGTCATCTGGTATAGAAAAGGAATTTTCAATAAAAATGATTCACTATTAGATACTAATTATTCTATATTATCAGAGTCATAAGACTTACCCAATTTAATTTCTTGCTCTAAGGCTTGTTCAATGGTATGGAGTTTTTCCTTTGTAATTTCCAGTTCTTTATTTAAGAACTCCATTTGTTCTTTTAAAGATGCATTTTCACACTAAATAAAAGACAGACATTATAGCTGACCTACACTACAATTCAGACAATGAGCACCAAAGAACTGACACTGCTTTAACTTCAAGCATTATCTCTTAAAATTCAATTTAGCTATTACAAATTATAATTTTCCCTACGTAGTACACACACACATGTAACTTAAAAATAATACTCCTGTATATACTACATGTAGCTCTCAATGTATAACTATTAGTTTTTATCATAAGGTGATGTGGTGGTTAGTCTTAGTTGTCAATTTGACACCACCTAGAATCAGTCTCCAGATCCCATCCCCCCATTATCCTAGTATTTTATTCTTTATTACCAATCTCACTTTCATCACTTTCTCTCCATTATCTGTAAACCCCTCTAATTTCATCAGAATTCTTTTAAAAAACAAAATGTAAACCACATCTTGCTCATTCTATTTCACGTCATACCTATCTCTCTTTTCTTCCACTGGATTTCGTTTTCTACTGCCTTATTTACTATTGATCCAGCTTTTATATTTTCTTTTCCACTTTCTTCTTTACATTCTGAAATCTGATTTTTCACAGCTCTATTCTCATTCTTATGAAACTTTGCTCTCAAAAGGCATCATCAATTTCCTAATCACCACCATCCTGGCTCTGTATTCTCTCTCATCAAAAGACATATATTAGTTCTAATTCTATGTCAGATACTAAACACACAAAAATGAATCAGACAGTTCCCCATATGTCAAGGCTTGTGTTCCAGTAAAGGGAAGAAGACACATAAACATAAATAATCCTATATAACATAGTGAATTATGTACTGCTAGTATCTATAAATATAGATGTAGAGCTTTGGGAAAATAAGATAGATGTGGATACTTCAGAAAAAGATATAGTATCTGAATAGTTTTGAAACAGAAAATTACTGAGCAGATAAACAGAAAGAAAATTTGGTTAGATGATGAAAACAGCATATACAAAAGAATATATGTAAGAAAGAATACTGTTTCAGAGAACGTGTAGCTCAGTTTCTAACACAATGTGTGAAATTCCTTAGAGCATGAAACAGCATTAGGTAAATGGGGGAAGAACATGAATTCTATGACTCCAGTGATGCCTAGAGAAGGGAGTAAGTGACATGGTTATATTGATGTTGATGCCAATCACTGTAGTGGCTGCAAGAAGATTTAAGACTAGAGGTAAGAATATGAGCAATGGCTGTGACAAATAGGTAAAGAACAAAACTAAAACATTGCCATTAGACTAGACATAGGTCAGAAAAGATGTAATTATAATGCTAGTTAATTATAAATGACAGAACATACTTCAGACACAGGATTTGGACCAATAGAGCTGCAACTAACCCACAACCACATCCTCTGAACGCTAGCTCTCATAGCTTTGGAGAGTGCTATGAAGGTGCCAAGAGAAAACATCAATGGATGATCCAACACCAGCTTCAAGACCAAATAACCATATCAGTGGCCAGCATAGCATACATCATTGGTGCAGTAGTGACACTTTTATCATGGGGATAATCAACAGCTACCTAATTTGACTAAACGCCCACTCAACGGTAGGAAACTCAAGTGATACTGTAAACATAACCTAATACATGTGGTCACAGATCTCAGAGAAAACCCCAAGACAGTCACATTGCTAGGCTAATGTTATTGCTTACTATGTGAAAAATATGTATCCTTATAGTTACAGACAAATCCCAGTCACCACTCATCAAAGAAGCTCATTTTTCACCAGAGACTATTACCAAGTACCACAACTGGTCACATACGGACATTGTCTATGAACTGCCCAGGTCTAAGTGACACATCTACAATGACACCTCTACACCTAAGGCTCACGCAACATAGAGCAGGGATAAATAAGAGGACACTAATGAACCTCTCAGTTCTTAATAATGAAGCTCCCTCGTGCAGCAGAAGGCCAGGAACAGAAAGGTCACAAATCACCAAAGCAATAAAGAGTCTGTTGAAATATAGTCCTTGGACAGGACCACTTTATTAAACTTCACTCTCCCAAGGCTCAGGGACCATTGCAGAAGAAGGGGCAGAAAGATCATAAGAGCCAGGGAAGAGGTGCATGACCATATGGGAACAGAGTCCTACAAGCTCCTAGAAACCTGCTCATATGATTCTATGGCAACCCTGTCAGCATACACAAGTCCCATGCAAACTCAGGCAGACAATAACCCAGCATAGAACTGGGAAAATGAACAGCAGACCTCAATCTTATCTGAGGGAATGTTGGCAACTGATTGCTGCTAGACGAAGAAGACCTGATCTTCCTAAAACAAGGGACTCTAGATAGGCTGACTAGATTCAGTGGTCAAACGTGCACTGGAGAACCTCTGGGGACACTGACAACCCAGTGGGTCTTAACAGGGATGACAGAGTATATGGGCTCCAGTGAGGGGGGAATGGGAGGGTGCCAGTGGGGATGGGGGTATAAAGATGATTATGATTGTTTGAGATGTTCTGTGAAATACACAAAAAATTCTATAAAATAAAAAATGTTTAAAAATTAAAGAGAAAAGAAAAGAAAGGTAAAATGAGCAAGCCAGAGGAAGTAAGCCAATAAGCAGTATTTTTCTGTGGTTGCTAATTCAGTTCCTGCCACCAGATTCCTGCTTGAGCTCCTGGCCTGGCTTCGCCAATGTCAGACTGTGGCGTGTAAGATGTAATAAATTCTTTCCTCCCCAGTTGATTTTGGTCAGTGTTTTATCACAGTAACAGGATCAAACCAGAACAGTACAGGTGACAAAGGATGCAAAGGCTGTAACTGACAAGCTCTCTCTTTCTCACCCTGTCTTTTCTCTCTCTCTCCTCTCTCACTCTCTCTCTCCTCTCTCTCCCCCTTTATTTACTTGATTGACTGATTGATTGATTGATTGATTGATTGATTGATTGATTGATTGATTGACTGATTGAGACAGGGTCTGCATATGTAGTCCAGGCTGGCCTCAGAATTGTGATCTGACTGATTAGAATTGTGATCTGACTGCTTCTAATTCCAAGTTCTGGGATTAAAAGCATAAGCTACCACATCAGCCTCTAATAGTTAACTGCCTGATGGGTCTTAAAGAGAAGACTCTTAACTGATGAGTTCTGAGGTAACTGTCACACAGCTAGGTAGAAATTTCCTTTAACATAAAAACCTATGACTTTTTTTAAGGGTCACAAATTTCTTACATTGAGAAGTAAGGGCTATGGTACCTTTCAGTACATTTTGGCAGCTTTGTGACTGTGTTAAACAATAAAGAACAGTGGAGAATGTCATTTCCAAAGTCACAGAAAGCAATGTGATTTCTACCCTGTTATTTAGAACAGTAGTTCTGGGGTCTTGAGTAGCTGTGAGAGGTTTGGCCACTCTTGAGAGTGCCACATTGTAAGGAGTTCAAGTGTGTGGAGGAATCAGAGGTAGACACACTGGTAAACAAGCCCAGTTGAGAATCAGCTTTAGAGTCATCCCTGTCCAGGTGCCAAATACGTGAGTGAAAGAGCTTCCAAATTAATGCCAGTCCCTCTCCCCCTCATGTTGAGTCATTCTTAGTCTTTCAGAAGTCTTCATCAGACACAAAAGATAAGACATCTGCAATGTGCTGAGTTTAAGTTCTGACTCCCAGACTCTATGGCAAGAATAAAATGGTGGATACTGGAGAGATGGCTCAGTAGTTAAGGACACTGGCTTCTCTTGCAGACCTGGGTTTGATTCCCAGCACCTACATGGTGGCTAACAACCGTCTGCAACTCTAGTTCCTGGAGATCTGACACCCTCTCCTTACCTCTGTGGGCACTGCACGACACAGGAGCACTTAACATTCATTCAAGCAAAGCACTCAAACAGATAAAATAAAAATAAATATTAAAAAAGAATATAATGGTTGTTTTATGAATTAAGTTTTGCAGATGGTTTTGTTATAGTACAGTAATGGGGACACAAGCATTTTACAAACATTGTTGACGTGAATTATTAATATTATATAAATGAAAGACATTGATTACAAAGTATACGAACTTTGAAAAGATTTTATTTTTAACTATGTATATGTGTTTTTATCTGTGTGTATGTGCAAGTAAGTGTACTGCCCATGGAGGCCAGAGGTGGAGGCCTTGGAGCTACAGTTATAGGCAGTTATGAGCTGTCTGACATGAGTGCTGGGAACTGAAATGGGATCCTCTGCAACAGCAGTATATGCTCTTAATGGCTGAGCTATCTTTCCAGCCCTATATATGAAATTTTCTTTAAATTTTAAAGACAAAAATATATTCTTTGAGAAAATTACTCATTGTGAGGCAGCAAAAATAGCTCAGCAGATAAATATGCTTGCCATATAAGAACAAATGACTTGAGTTCTATCCCCAGGATTCACAATGAAGTGACTCCTGAAAGTTGACCTTTAGCTTTCATGTTAGTGCATATTCACATGCACACACACACACACACACACACACACACACACACACCCCACAGTAATAATAATAAATAAAACTTTTAAAATATTCATTGAGGTCTAGGGAGGGAGTTCAGTGTTTTAGTGCTTGCTTGGGTTTAATTCCTAGTAATACTGAAAAGCCTTATTGATAGGATATCTTCACATTGCTCATCTAGGATTTTCTAATCCTAGTTACAGAACAGAAGGCATGGACATTGGGAAAAAGAAAATAAATCATTACCACACCTAAATATTCAGTTACCTATAAAAATCATTTCTGACAAAAGCAGTAAAAAGTATATGGATCATGATTACTTCCAGATTATTCATACACACTGACTCAGTTTACTCTGGAGAAGTCATTGAAGCTTTAATGTGTTGATTTATTCAGTGCAACCTCTGCCAACCAAGCAAGTAAAAGCTTATAACTGAACTGTACCTTATTCCACTTTTTTTTTCATTTAAATAACCACATACTTAGAAGAAGCATTTCATTACAACAGCATTGGTATATTCAATAAAAATTTTCTGAGCTAAGAGGCATCTTTTTCAAAATTAGATGTAAATTTTTAG